AGTACTTCCACTTTTACCATAGTATTTTTTAACACAAGTATCTGTACTCTTAATCAAGTACGGAAAGTGAGTACTTCTGTCATCTCTGGTCTTTTGTGATCCATCTTCACAAACTCTCACCCCTGTAGTCTCACTGCAGCAGTACTCACACTCTTCATTTCCTGCTGTATCCAGGGTCTACTGTATGGTAGCAGTCTCAGTCCTCCCCAAAAACCACCTCCAGCTCTCCCCCAGGCACTCTGAGGCCGGCCAAGAAAGATTGTCTCCCTAGCGCATTCTGGGTCTTCCTCCTGGAAGGACGACCTTGGAACGCCTGCCAAGGCAGGTGTCCAGGAGGCACCTGAAAAAGATGCCTGAGCCACCTCTGCTGTCTCCTCTTAATGTGGAGGAGAAGCGGCTCTAAGTTGAAAAGGCTGAAGATCTCAGTGGTGCAAGATGCACTTAACTTTTTGGGGGGTTTAGATAAACAAAACACAACAAAAAAAGTATGTTCATGTTTCCCACTTTTAGATCTGTTAAGTGTATATTTTCATATTATGGCAGTCTCTTTTACACCTTAACACTTTGTAACCTCCACTTTAATAGGTCATTTGAGTGAAATGCCCATCTTGAACCCATTACACGCACTGTTAGCTGAACCAAAACCAAGCTCTGCTAGTTGTCGGATTCTGCTGCACGCTACAAGGTTAATGCATAATTTGGCAGTTAGGGGATTAAACACCTGGAAAGCTGCCATAAGTGCATATGTTACATTACTCATCAGCAGCTCCGGAGTAAATATGCAAGGATGCTAAGATAGATTTGCTTACTCCTGGGACTCATGTCTCATTAGTCAGACAAATTATCATTCTGGCTCTGTAATGTAGTCGTATTTTGTGGATTCTTTATTTTGTCACCCAGGGCTGAAGAATATTTATAACTGTAAAACATTTTACTTGATGATTTTATCTGAAGTCCCGTTAATGTCAGGGTACATGAATTGTCACCTTAAGACATCCTAAATCCAATTTTACTTAATATTATTATTGTTTTAATGTCGGGAATAGGAACCACATTGGATGGATTGCCTCACTGCTCTTTTAATCACTTTACAGCAGAATCGATGCAGATGAATGTGATCCGCTTCACTTAATCTTGTAAACAATCTCCATTTTTCAGTGTGCTTTGCAGTCTTTTAAATCAGGGTTATTTTTTTCCTTATGCATGGTTTCACAAATGTGTTGCATAAGGCTGAATTTGATCCTTTAGAGCAAGGCTTAATGGAGTAGATTGATGATTTTATTACGTCGGCTTTAATGGGGTGTAATATCCCTATATTTAGCTCACTGTCTGAATACTGACATCCGATGGAGGCAAAGACTGCTGAGTTTGCACCAGCAGCAATCAACCTCAGATGGGCTCATTGCGGCAGGCTGCACAGCATCTGCATGCAGTCACTGATACAGTGCTGCCTCCAGTGGACGCAGAGGAAAACAGAACAATTGGTCCTGATCTGCATGAATGAGTGAAGCTTTGGCATTTTGGATCAATTCCCAGGACAAGAGATGCTTTGTCTGTGTTTCTGCTTTGCTGTGCCCAAGTTACCCTGATTGATAGTGAGATGCAGGCTCTCCATATAAAGAGGCTGGCCTACTTTTTTCCAGGGAGGAGGCCAGTGATCTTGATGATCTAACAGTGAAGCATATTAGTTACCAGACTATCAAAATAGACTATTTTAAAAACAAACCGCAGTACATATCCACACATAGCATTTTTATTACTCATATTAAACATAACTTATTTCTTCTCAGGGCTTTTTTCCTGGATCAGTCCAACATACCGCCCAGCACTACACCCAAAGCCGCCCTCATAGATAAGGTAAGACTTGGACTCATTTTGCATCAGTAAAACAATCTATTTGACTTTAGGGCCTCACATGTGCTTACAACAGCCAGAAGTTTACAAGCAACCATTATATGCATAAATATTTCAAATAAGTATGGGCTTTTAAAGATGCATATGAATCTTTGTTTGCTTATGTTACAGCTCAAAATGTTATAAAGAGTAAAAATAGACAGTTTGATTTCACTCAGATCGTGTTTTTCTTTTATGTTATTTTATATTTAACATGGCTATACTGTAGATTTAATTCAAGCTGAACTAAAGATACAAGCTCAAATAAATAACTGAATAACTTTTCCTTACCAGGTTGCAAACGAACCTTAGTTTTTGTCAAAATGAGTAAAGAACCGGCATATTTTACTTTTGTCTTCATTACAGTTGATTACCTCGAGTTCCTAACTCGGTTCAGCCACATTAAAATAAAAGGCTCCATGTTCATAATGTTCATTTATCACTATTTTGTCAGAAATTATGGAAAAACATTTATATAAACACCCAGCATCATTCAACATGTAGCCTTCTGATTCTGTCATTGCCCAAAGTACTGCCCTTATTCAGGTATGGCAATGGTTTATTCAACAAAAGAGTTATTTTTAATTCTTTCATTACCACCAAATCCCTGCATATGGGGTGTGTCAGCAATTTGTTTTTCTCCTTTTAAATTGTCCCTGCAACTTTGAAGACTTTTCAGTCTTCAAAGTTGCTTTTCGGTAGCTGAAAGGTTACATTTTCTAGGACAAAATTCCCAACTGATGGCTGATTTTTCCATAATCCTAAAACTATTAAGTCAAAATGGATTGAGATTTTCTTTATATCATTGTAGACATGGTTGGGTGCTTACCCACTGGATGGTAGGAGAGGGTATTTAAAAGCTGCACTCCATCTCCTGTCCATAAACAAAAAAACAACAACTAAGGCTACGTTCACACTGCAGCCTAAAGTGACCCAAATCCGATTTTTTTTTGGCCCATATGCGACCTGAATCTGATATTTTCATGGCTGTCTGAACAACACAGATCCGATTTTTTTCAATGCGACCCAGGCCACATGGCTATGTGGTCCTGAATCCGGTACGAATCTGATCTTTTCAAATGCGACCTGTGTCTCAACAGCCAGGTCGGATTCATCCGACCTGAACGTCATTAATACCCGACAAAGGTCACTATTCTGCGTCTTGCTATGCAGAAGCGGCAAGAAAAACAACAACGGCAGATGACGATGCGGAGAGCAGTATTTATGTTTAACCATATTGTAAAGATTGTGTTTTTATGGTTGGAAAAGACCTTTAGATGGGCGCCAGCACTACCATCCATGTTTACTTCTGTAAACATGCATGCTGACACTCCTCTACTGCGCATGCGGGACACTTGCGTTGTATGACTGCAGTTCACACAGGAGATCACATACAAGTCGCATTTATGTGGAAATATGAACGGCAACGCAAAAAAATCGGAATTGAGCATCAAGACCTGCAGTGTGAATTAGAGACTGACACTGGAGAAGGATTTTCACTCCTGTCCCGTCCCACTCCTACAGAAAAAAATTGTGTCCCGTCCCGATCCCGGGCCAGAGTAGAAATCTAAATCCTGTCCCGTCCCATTCCTGATGAAATTACTCCCACTCCCATCCCGAATGACTCCCGCTCCTGCACCACTCCCGTTCTTGTTTTTTTTTTTTACGTGGGTGAAAAACTCAGAGCGGAAGCACTGTTGGTTTTTGGGTCGTGTCGTTTTTTTTTGACTCGCATTATAGTGTAGGCTTCAAGGAAAAAAACTACAAAATGGCGGCGCCAGTACTGGATTTTTTTTCTTTCTATTTTATTTAATTTTTTGGCATCGATCCTAGTTTTTTTTTTTTTTTTAGTTACTATTGGTTTGCTCCCGCTCCCGTCTGCTCCCGTAAATGTTCAATCCTGTACCGTCCCAATCACGTGATCGTTACTAATACTGACTCCCATCCCACGGGAATCCCATGACCAGTGGGATTTCCGAAAAAATGTCAGTCTTTGGTGTGAATGTAGCCTAAATGTACACATTCTAGCTTGATGGTTTTAAGGTTTGGATTTTTTGCTTACTATTTTACCTTAGTATATTACCTGTGTATTAAGTGAAGCTGAAGACTGTATAGTCATCAATTATTTTATTACGCCATGTCAGAATTCACATTACAATAGTGGTTTCCCTTCCTATTCGAGAAAGTGAGGAAATCAAAGAGGGGATCACTTTAATATTAATTAAAATATATTGGAAAATAGTCATAGAATACTGCAAGAAATGTTTTAATGAGTAATACCCTCAAAAAAACCCAAAATGTTTTTTAGAAACTAGAGTCTTGGATAAAAATGATACATTTCTATTAAGCATTTTAATAGTGTCTGGAGAGAAGGAAGTACCAAATCTGACAACATGGTGGGAAATAACATCGGATATTTATAAAATGGAAAAGATGACCACTGCTATAAACAACAAGCAGGAATAGTTTAAGTCATGCTGGGAGAAGTGGATTGAAAAAAAATTCAAAAAGGCTCAGTTTTATTTGGAAAACGTGAGTCATTTGATTAATGATGACTAATGGTACCTCCCTGTTCAGATTTTGTTCCCTTATTCTTATTTATTTCCTTTACTTTTGAGATGGGAATGTGAATCAATCTGGAACAACACTGAGAAAAAAGAAACACATACACACACACACACACACACACAATATATATATATATATATATATATATATATATATAATATATATATGTTAAATGTACCAGTCAATTTAAAAACACTAAAAGCTTCCTGGCCTATTAGAGCTTTATGATCTGGAACAATTTTATGAGTTTCCCTCAGAACCATTTTGGCTGGCTACATTTTTTCCCCTTATCCTGTGCTCTACTCTGCGGACTTTTTTTCTGCCCAGTTGATGCGACCCCTCAATGCACTGGAGGAACTCTACCGTCTGATGGAGAGCTTTATCAGGTGCCGCCGTACCGCTGCCTGCCAGTACACCGCCTGTGGGGCTTCTGGTGTGGGGCTCCTCACTGTGGCGTCTGAGCTCTGCTCCCGTCTGGGAGCCACGCACGTCGTCATGTGCAACAGTGGTGTTCATCGGTGAGTCCAATCAGCCAATTAAAATGCAGTGAATTGTTTTAGATCTTGGGGCAGGAGAAATGCAGCACAGACCTGCAAAAAGCCCATTTACACAGTGTTCACCTTTGCCATTTTACTCTACAGATTCAGTGCTGCTATCATCTTCGATTAGAGCCCCCCTTTGTGTGAATTAACGCCAGGTATTCTTGTTAATTAGCCTCTTTGGTTTTCAATCCAAATTAAGGACTTTAAGGAGGCAGAGCCCTTTTTACACAGGAAGGCGACAGGTCAATTACCTCCTTTTTCATTGAATTCTATATGAGGTTCTGCACCTGTCGCTGGGGGTCTCATTCATCAGTGCTTGAAGACGGAAATATCCTGATCGTTTGTCACCCCTGATCCCCAGTTGCTGCTTTCATCTTCATCTCTAACTCCTTCACCCCGCCTGCCCACCAATCTCTCTGATACCATCTTTTCCTCACCCTCTGACAGTTTCCATATCTTTTTGTCTCCTTCTAACCCACCAGTGCGCCCATGCATTCTCTGCGTATGAGTGATGGCTTGACGAAGTGCTGCAATGGGAGGCAACCGCTCGCCTTAGCTTTAATCCAAAGTTTCTGCCTGCGGAATGAGTTCCACGACTTTATTTACTCACAAGTTGCATATATAACTGTGTTTTCTTTTTGAGCCGATTCAACTCCGTCTGACAGGGAGTCACAGTACACCGTAACATCAAAGTTGTCAAGTCCCGTCATATTTAGGGTTATTTGGGTTGTGGTTTCTTAGAAATTACCTAAAGCTGAAGAAGGAAGACTGAGGAAGTGAAAATTAAAACTTGACCTTTTCATGGAGCCAGATTACTACAAATACCAACACATCACTTTAAGTAAAAAGAAAAAAAAAGCAAGCAAGTGAAAAAGAAAACGAAACCAAGACAGTTGATTAGTAGTGTGAAACTGGATTCAGCAATGTGGCAGTCATCTAAGGCTGAATTGATTGGATTAGTTGGGCTGATGGATGAGTTTTAATAAAAGCTGTTCCCAATTTGCAGCATATCTCTCCCATCCAGTTTTCTTTGCTCATCACCCACACATAAATTAGAACTCGATGTCGGGTCAATTTTAGAGACACCTTTTGCTACGTTTACAGCTGCACATGTTTTAGGATTATATTTCTTACAGCTTTGCTCAACTAGATACAGATATTTTCACTTATTCCTTTTTGAAAACCCCCTTAAGCTCGATCAGATGGGATGAGAGACTGTGCACGGCGCTGCAGAAGGAGATTTGTGTTGCCTGAATGCTTAATTCTACCATCAGCTTTGATTAGCTTCCCTCTACTTGCAGAAGAGAAGCACTAAACACCATGATACTGCCACCACAGTCGTTCACTATGGCAAAGCCTAGCCTGGGTGATAAACGACACCTACAGCATCCATACGGATGTGCAGTGTTAGCTTTCATCTCACCCACTTGTTCTTCACAGTTAGACCAGAGATGGGCAACTCCAGGCCTCAAAGACATGCAGAAGAGTTGGCCTTTGAGTACAACTGTCCATCCCTGATGCAGACCAAAATAATTTACTGTGTTCTCATCTCAGTCAGGAGTAATGTAGTGTATGATTAAAGGTTGTCCATAATCGGCCGGTCAGTTTACTGTAGCTGAAAGAAATCTATGCTTATTTTTCCTTTATGATATGCACATTGTATGAATGCATATTGTGTTTTTTTTTCCCTTTTGTATTTTATCTGTTTTTCCCCTTCCTTCATCTTTCACATGTTTCCTCTTGGACTATGTTCTCCACTTTGGGTGTAAATGGGATGTGTTGGAACGACATAAAACAGATGGATATAAATCATCTCCCACTATCTCTCCAGCCCTAATGAACCTAGAAACTGCGCTTCGTGCACACATACACAGATTTTGTGCATTTCCTTCATCCTGCTCCAGCTGACAAGATATTTAAAGATTCTCTCCGAGTGATTCCCCCACCCCCTCCTCTTCGTCGGCATAGAACCTAAAATGGGTGCTTAAAATATTCTGAGGTTTGAACTGGGAAAGGACATATTTTGCACCTCTTTAGTGTGTTACTACCTGATGCATCCTCCTCATGATTGTTAGGTTCATTACTTTTATCACACTGTCAGGCCTGTCATAAAGTTATGCGACTGAATCCCAGGGGATAAAGTCTTGATCTGATTGACTTCAAGTAAGGACTTCTGGCAGCTATACCACCCCTGACGCACATCTGCTTGTTTTTTTTTTCCCTTTCTCATTTAGAGATAATAAACAAACAGCTCAGATTTCCTAATAACTCCATGGTGGTGGTTATTGAATTAAAGCAAACCTTGCAGCCTCAGAGCTTTGGACAGTTTAATTTGGAGTGAAAAGACCCAATCGATACACAGGCGCTTCTTGGTATCAAAGAAAGGTCAACTGAGCAGCTTTGACACTTGTCACTGCCTCACTAAGGATTTATCAATGAGCAGCATTGTGTTTGTGTGTGCTAAGGTGAAGACCAGAAATCTGAATACACACAGCACAGAAAATAAGTTAGCCTGATTAAAATAATTATATATTATAAATATATTCAACAAATTTGAAATGATGCTTGGTGTACTAAAATAAAAATGGCAGGTAAAGAGTATGTAAAGCATGATGGGAAATTAGAAGCAAAAATGTATAGCTAGCCAATAAAAAAGCTGATTGTATTTAAAAGCAATCCTGCTTCACATTAGCTGGTTTACTCATTAGTGATGGTGAATAAAAAGCTGGTTTAGCACCAACCACTCTTATACAGTATGCTGGTGTTTAATGTGGCAAAACATATTTATGGTATTGATTATGGTGGCATTTTTGAACTCCTAGGTCTTCACCTTTAGGGCCCTTCTTTAGAGTATTTTACCGTTAATCTTCCAGAAAAGTTCTGACAGAGCAATCCAAATGAATAATTTTTAAGAGTTATATGAGACAGTGGTTTTTCGAACTGGGTCCTCGGGACTGACCGTCCGGCATGTTTTATATGCATTTCTGCTGCAGCACATCTGCATAAAATGATTGAATGGGTGATAAGCAGGCCCCTCACCAACTTAGTTAAGTCGTGTGTGAAGAGGTGGGGAAATATTTAAAATCTGCAGGACAGTGGGTCTTGAGGACCAAGTTTGAACCAGTGATCTAAGGCTACATTTATACTGCAGTCTAAAGTGACCCAAATCCGTAAGCCTATATGCGGCCTGTATCTGATCTTCTCATCACAGTCTGAATACAGAGTTGATTTTTTTCTTCAATGCGATCCAGGTCACTTGGCTATGTGGTCCTGAATCTGCTCTTTTCAAATGCAACCTGTATCTGATCGGCCACATCACATTCATCCAACCTGTATTCCATTAATACTCAACAAAGGTGACTATTCTGCGTCTTGCTAAGCAGAAGCAGGGAGAAAAAAAATAACCATGGCAGATGATGAGGCGGATCTTTATTTTCAACCTTCTTGAAAAGATTATGTCTTTAATGCACTATCTGAGGTTGGGAAAGAAATAAAATACTGCAAGATGCGCTCCAGCACTACCATGCCTGTTTACTTCCATAAATACAGAGCAGTATAACACCTATGTTTGGAAATGTGAACAACCACGCAAAAGAATCGGATTTCACAAAAAAAAATAAAAATCAGAATTGAACATTAAGGCCTGCAGTGTGGACATAGCCTAAGAGACTGGAATCATTTAGCAAGCTATTCAGAAAAAACTGAAAAACTACTAATGCAGTCAGTTGCAATGTACTATATAAATGCACACTACAAGACTGTACAATCCAAAAACATAACAGATAAGAATTTTAAAACAGCTGATCCATATGCTCCACCTTTCAACATTTGATTCTCATGATTTTTATGACATAGAAGGAATGGAGAACTGATTATGTACAATATTAACAGCAATCTCAGGAATAAACGCTTTACTAAAACAGGGATCCCAGATGGATTCTAGAAAGCTGGTTTCAGAAAAAGAAAATAAAGCTGATTGAGTGGCTCAGTAAATAATGCTACTTAAATCATAAAGATTCTGCATAAAGGATTAATTTTTACATGGGTTTCAATTGGGTCTCACTTGTACAATGCATGTCGTTAATTTCTCCCTACAGGGACCATCTGAAAATGATTGTTTCCTGAAAAGGTTTCCATGTATTTCAGTTCACAATCTCATTTATGGATTATCTTGTGATTACAGTAGTATCCATTTGTTTAATAGCATGAATAGTGTCACACTATTTTGGTGTGAATTCCTTGTTAATAGTCCCATTAGAAACTATTTTGCTCAGAAACCAATTGTGTTCAATATTTACTACAGTATGTATTTTATCCACTGTACATGACTAAAAACGACATTTGCTGCAGCTGATGAATCACAGGCTCATGTCAAGACTCCTTTAACACACATTACATGCTTATGTGAATCTCTACCAAACGAAACACACTGACTTGTCCTTGGACCCTTTTCCTCTTCACCACAGTAAGCATAAATCTTGAGGAGTCTCTTCAGGTGCTGACAGACAACCTCTAGCTTCAGTCTCCTTCTGCTCATTCTAATAAAAACCCAAAACATTAGCCATGGAGGCTTTTTTAAGGCTCAGAAGATGCATGTTTCCTTGCTGTGACTAACTCAGCGAGGAAATGAGCAAACACCAAGCAGGAGGGATAAAATGGTAATGACGGCTTACAAAAAATAACCAAAATATGCTCATGCAAATGGGACATGCTTGAAATAAATTTTAACTTACAATTAACATATTGTTTGCAAATCAAACTAAGAGTTATTCAGGCTTTGAATTTCTGGCATTTTTTGTTCCAATCTACATCAAGAAGATGCCTGCGTTTTCTAAGAGAACGTGTTTAGAAAGGGAAACATTCTGAATGCCTTCTGTGGATGGAAGAAAAGACATTTTAGCATTCTCTTTGTTTTTCGTTCATGTTTATCCTCATTTGGACTAAATACATTTTTAAGATTAAATGGGTTGGAAGTTAAACATAGCTGAGCTCCTTGACTTTCATTTAGAGACTCAAAGTCTACACTTGTGTTCTTATCCAACCTACAGATGCACTTTGAGTGTCACATTGGAGCAGGCTATCCTGTTGGCTCGAAATCATGGCCTTCCCCCCCGCTGTATCATGCAGGCTACTGATGTCATGAGGAAACAGGTAAGACAGTCTTTGACCAAAGATGGCTTTGCCAAAGAAGCTGACTGTTAACACTGTCTTTCATTCAAGCTTGTGGAACAAAAATGGTCTACAAGTTATTTGTAAAGCTGCAAACTTTAAAGAATTGTTAAGAGTTTGCCAAACATCACAAAAGATGCTTTAGAAAGGTGATGATGTGAGGAACCAACCTTCAATATCCACTGCTGTTTGGCTGAGTTTAGCGTCCAAAGTTAGTGGAAATGGCTGAAAGTAAAATTTTGGGGATTTCTTAATGCTTTCTGCAAGCATGTGCCCACACCATGAAAACATCCATTTACCTTTGTATAATTGTGCTTGATGGATAAGTAAATGTGCTAGACTGCAACCCCATAAAATAATTGTATTTAGGAAGAATAACAGACACCAAACCAAACAATGCATTGCTAGTTAAGGAAAACCACAAGGAAAATTGCATTGATGCAGACGTTGAATGAATGAATGAATATTTATTTATTTCAGACAATAATATTAGTAACAAATTAACAAATAAAAAAGCATGAACCTGCCAAATACTACAGTGAAACTTGGAAAAGAAACTGACCTGAAGGTAAAAGTGGTAAAAAAGCGGTAAAAAAAGCGGTAAAAGCGCTGACCTGAAGGTAAAAGTTAGAACAGCCGCTAACCAGGCTGTGTGTTATATGCTCTTCGTTTTGCTCTAAACCATTACAGGTCATGGATCTTTTCTGCAGACATAATTGTTTGCTGCAGTTAGTATCTGTCTCTTTTTAGATTTAGGACCCAATATTCAAGCAGACAGATCTGGAAGATTTGAAACAATTTTTTAAGCAGTAAGCGTGCGGCAGATCTTCAGCTGGGGCGGCTAAACCGTATCTTCTGTAAGAGTAGAAAATCAGGTCAGTGACTCAGAAGTAAAGGCTGACAATGGCTAACAGCAATAGTCACTGACCTGTTTCAGAGTTCAGTCCGATCTCAGAAGAAGGAAATGGATCCGAGAGGGAAATTGTCCTCCGCTTGCGGCAGTTGCCGCCCTCCAGAGCTCCGAGTGATGTCCAGAGCTGATGCCAGCCGACGCCGAGGGGCAACGGTGTCCAGAAGGGAACATCCTGAGGCGAAGTCGAAGGAGAACCAGGTTTAGAGACAAGAAAATCAGAGAGGTGCAAAATGAGAATCCAATCCGAGGTCAGAAGAACAGTTGAAGTTCAATAAGCCGGTAGAATCCAGGGATCAGTTCAGAACAGATCAGACTACCAGAGCAGACAGGGCCAAAGCAAAACTCGGCATCCACATGACAGAAACGGGTCACGATTAGGAAATCAAAACAATGATCAGAATGCTAGAGCTACTCTCACCTCACCGAACAGCTCGGATAATCTGGCACCAAAAGCTGGAAACCGGTGGCATAAGTCGTGGCAGGAACAGGTGGATCTAATGAGAGATAATGAGCGCAGGGCAGAGCAAAGCAGATGAGTGAAAAGGAGAAAAAACCCTGCTTATGGTGCCAAGATCATGACATGTGGACCACATAGTCCAGTGGACCAGCTAGTCCACCTCCTGTCAAGGTTGACCATATTAACTTTCATGTGAACTTGCAAAATATTCATCCCTTTAAAAATGTAGCTTTACATAGGCAGTTAACAGCCCGCAGGGCTGATTTCCCTTTAACTTTAAAACATGCAGCTACTTCTATTATATCACGAACATAATTAGATCAAAGATGAAAGGTCCTTACTGGGAGCCTAGAACTGTAGTGGGTTTTATAGGCTTTAGTTTGGTCATCTGACTGATTTCTGATTGGCTGCACCTCACTCTGCTTGTCCTTTCTCTAATCTTTTCTTATATTACTGCTTTATGAGAAAAACCATATAGTAAGGAAGCTCTGAATTTAAGGGAAAAATGTCAGCCTAGAATATTTTTATGGAAAAAACTCTCAAGCTTCAGTCCTGACTGTTTTGCATGTGTGTTTCGGGTCAAGGGTGGAAATTCCATCTTTTCTTAAGCACATAGAGATTTTCACTCTATAAAGCCCTCAGCCGTGACCAAATCTTGGCTAGCTGCTTCGTGTCTTTTTTTTAAAGTGTAGTCTGGATGGTTATGTACGTAGCTGCTTGAAATGGAGAAGTCAAACAGCTAAGATTTTGCATAACTTTAAATGTTTTAAGTTGTAGTCTCAGAAAAAAATGAGATTGCAGTGGTGTGGACACTCTATTGTGTGGGATTTTGTTTTCTGATTTTTTTTGTCACATTGTTTACAGTTATCAACAAAAATAGTGAGCCAAGTCTGATTGGATATATATATATATATATATATATATATATATATATATATATAT